CTTTCATTATTGTTGTCATTTCTTTTTTCACCTGAGACATTATATCTGATGTGATGACTCCTGTGGCCTGAGGGACTTGTTTTTTTTACTTCAGTTGCTATCATTTCAGAAATTTCAGGTGTATGACTTCCAGGCTTTTCTGTGTTGATGCCTCCTGGACTTGTTTTGGGTGGTGTAGAGGTCTGGCATTGCATTTTACTCCTTCATTTTGTCATTTTTGAAGATCCAGAGGCTCCCTGGAGTGCAGTCTCTCTGTCCTGATTGTGTGCGGGTGGCAGGGTGAGAGTTTGAAGATACACAGTGCTTAGTGCAGCTCCTGTGCTGGTGAGTGGTGGCAAGGTGGGGTCCCAGATGCTCCCGAACTTTCTTGCATTCAATTGACTCCCAGGTGTGTGTGTTAAGGGCAGGGACGGCTCGCCAGCATTCCTTAGACTGTCTGTGGTTCGGCCCAGGTTTTACAAGAGTAGAGAGGGTATAGGTCATGTTCACCGAGGCTTCAGATATTGTCCAGGGCAAAGCCTGCTTCCCATACTGGAAGGGGAGAGGTGAGGGTGGACTCTTCACGGCCGCTGACTCTGTCCAGGTTTCAGCTGAGCTTCCAGCGGGGTGTGAGTTGTTCTGGCAGTGACTACCAAGGCCCCGGACATTGTCCAGGGATCTACGTGACACATACACTAGTAGGGGCACCAGAGTGGCTCACCGGGGTTCCTAAAGGTGCCTGGCGTTCAGCCCAGCCCTGGCAGACACACTATGGTTGTGACGAGTAGCCACCAAGGCCCCAGAGGGTGCCCAAGTTTCCGCCTGCCTTGCACACTCATCAGGGGGCACTGCTGCGACTCTCCGGGCTTCCTGAAGATGTTCGGGATTCAGCCCAACCCTGGCAGACACCTGCTCTCCACATCTCAGTAAGGTTTTATGTCCTATATTTTTGTTTGGTTAAATTTTCATGGAGTTTGTTTTTTAATATATTGGTCATTCATGTTTTGTATTATATGTTTAGGTCAGCTAGCTTTTTATTACTGTCTTCTATAAGCTCACAGGTCACTTTACTTTTTACATCCATTACCTGTGTAGTTGTATCATTTTTGAGATTGATGAGTACCTTACTGCTCTTTTTTTTTTTTTTTTTTTTTCATCTTCTCCCTTATTTCAAACAATATGGCTTTGTGGGTTTTTCCTTCCCATTGATGCCCATCAATCAGCTGTGGGGGAGTTGGGATTTCTGGGAGGCATTTAGTTGCCTTGTCTCATGGTTTGTGTGTTTGCGCATGAGCATGCATGCATGCACATGTGTGCAGAGTTTTGGGGTTGATTGTATTGAAAAGACTTTGTTGCTAGTATGGAAATACCTTTAGGAAGGTATTTGCATACATCTTCAGGAAGCCCGGTGAGTCTGTTTCTCAGTGTTATTCTCTGGGTATGGCTAGGTATATGCCTTTGCCTCAGTACTAAGATCCAACCACCTCTGTTAATTTGGGAATGGAGCGCACACTACAGTTAGCCTAGTACCTAGTTCTGAAATGAACTGCAGTAATGTTGATGAAAGAAAGACCTAACCTGCCATATGGTAAGAGTTACTTTTAGAGTAAAAGCCCCTGCTGTGTTAACAGTTTACAATAACTGTGGAGTTTTCTTGGGGATGGCACTCTGGACCTGTTGTTTTCTCCCTAGGTTTCCAACCCTCTGACCTTACGTCAGCAGACAGGTCTCCTTTCCAGGAGCAAGAGTGAGCTTTCTAGGTTGCTGTTACTTTTCTCTGTGTTGTGCTTCTTTTCTCCAGCTTCTTTATACTTGCTACTTTTTTTTTTTTTTTTTTTGGCAACTCCTTCCCAGTTCCTGAAGGTCTGCTGCTTTTCTTCTAACAGGTTGTTTTCTAGGTGTCTCAGTTCCAGGTTCTGGAGAAGCTGTATTTTGTTGTTGATCTCAACTGTGCCACTTTTGTGTTTTATAAAACAATTTTTTGATCCCATCTATATGCTAAAAGGAAAGCTAGTTGTTTAGTGTGTAAGTTATTTTAAAATGTAATTGAGATTCTACAGCCTCTTTTTTTGCAGTTGTTCATTGTGGACTTCCATCCATGCTAACATAGAGTGTAACTGTTTGTCTGGATTGTCCTCTTGTCAGTGGTTTTACTTTTTATGGTTTCAGTTATCTATGGTTAACCACCATTCAAAAAATATTAAGTTGAAAATTCCAAAAATAAATTTAATTTATTTTATTCATAAATTTTAAGTTGCATACCATTATGAGTAGTGTGACAGAATCTTGCATGATCCTGCTCTGTATTGCCTAGGATATGTAATTCCTGTCTTCAGTAAATCTATACTACATATGTTACACAGTTTGTCACTTATCATACATGTCAAATATCAGATCAACTGTTACAGTATTACAATGCTTGTTTTCAAGTAACTCTCATTTTACTTAATAATGGCTCAAAAATACAAGCATAGTGGTGCTGGGAATGCAAACAAACCACAGTCTATAAAGTGCTTTCTTTAAAAAAATAAAAAGGAAAAAAATGTGTGCTGCGGTTGCCAATATCTACAATGCAGTGATATTTTGAGAGAGAAACTACATTCACATAACGGTTATAATTGCTGTTACATTTTGTTTTTGTTAATCTCTTACTGGGCTTATTTTGAAATTAAACGTATAGTATATATAGGGCTCAGAAGTATCTTGTTTCTGGTATCCATTGGGTATCTTGGAACATATCCCTGCACATAAATCAGGCAAATTATATAATATGAATATCTACATATTGAGGAAGGAAGAGGACTTTGTACTAGGATATTGTTTTACTTTCTAAATATAGATATATACTTAGTTAAAGAATACCAGTATTTCTATTTGAAGAAGAAAAATAGCTTTTTCTTTGGAAAAAAGTCTCCTGTTTGTAAAATATGTAATTTTGGAAAGCTCCCCATGAAAAATCGGTAGCTCCTGAGTTGACTTTCACCATAAGGAACAAAGAAGGAAGGAATCAGAAGATTTCCAGTGAGAAAGCACTATCACTGAAAGTAATAGCAGCATTTGGAATTCTTGTCTCTGCTTGACTGTATTTATAGTCATATTTTATCTTTCTACCAAAATTATTTACAGATATTAGCTGCTACCTTTTTTTAGTGAATTGAGAATAATTTAAGCAAAATCATTACTACTTTTTGATGGGGCTATAATTTATATGTCTTACTGCTGGGTGGCTCTGATTTGAATTTGATTCTTCCTGTCACATTCAACATGCATCATGGTACATGCATCACTATTCCACTTGACAGCTTGTACAAATTCTCAGGGGGTCCTTTAATTGCAGTAATGCAAAGAAAGGCATTGATTTAGCAGACGTGATGTCATCGTATTACAGTTCCTTAAAGAAAACATTAAAATCTTTTAAAAATTTGTAATACAATGAATTTGTGGAACAGCACTTGAAATGCATATTATTTACACCAGCAGTGGGGAACTTGTAAGATTTTTTGTGCTAAAATTTAGAGAAGTAATTATTGATGTTATTCATGAATAGTGTAAGTTAACTTATAAATTAATGAAATGAATACATCTGTTGATTATAATTTTAGTTGATATAAATAGTATTATTTAATATTTATATTTGGACAATAGTACAAATTCAAGCAACTAACTAGATTTGGCCTATTTGTAGACTTTTCATTAATTTTATTGGTGAAAAGACTGATAAAGTGGTTAAATTCATTTGTATCACAAGTGGTACAAGCTGCCTAACAAGATTCAAACTGGTGGGAATGTGTTAACTATGTAACAGCTTAAAATTCCATTTTCTCATTTAGTTCTTTATTATTTCAAATTGTATTTCCCAGGCTTCTGTAACTAGACATAGTTTTCATTAGCATAATGTCCTCCAAGATCATTCACATTGCTGCAAATGGCAGGGCACAGAAAGACAAATGATGCTTGGAATTGCTTATATGTGAAATCTGCAGCAGTTGCATTTAGCAGAGGAATAGTGGTTGCCAGGAGCTGAGGGATGGAGGAAATGAGGAGATGTTAATTGAAGAGTACAAACTTGCACTTAGAAGATGAAAATGTGCTGGAGACCTATATACAATAGGTCACTAACAGTTTATACTTATATGTTGAGTACTTAAAGTTTGCTAAGAGACAGCTCTTCAGTGTACACACTAACAAAAAGGTAACTGAACAGATGAATATGCTAATTAATTTGATTCCGGGAACCATTAGAAAAAGGTATACCTACATCAAAATGCCATATTGTACACCTTAAATAGGAATTTTATTTGTCAATTATACCCTAACAAAGCCAAAAAATAAATTTAAAATAATGAAATAGGGCTAGAGATGTATCCTCTGAGGTAGACCACTTAGCATGGTGAAGGCCCTGGGTTCCGTTACCAGCATTAAATAACAGTGACAACAACAACAACAATAATAATAATATAATTGTAAAATTACATGTCACAGTGTGAATAAAAATTGTACTTTAGCCTTTTCTAAGAGACAAATTTTCATATAAGATTTGGACAATGGTGCTTTGCATTACGATTTAGATAGAGGTTTATATTTTTGCTATTTTGGGGGGGTCTGTGAGACAGGGTCTTGCTATGTACTTCGGGTTCGGCTTGAAATTACTATGTAGCCCAGGCTGGCCTCGAACTTGCAGATCCTCCCGCCTTAGCTTCCTGAGTGCTGGGCTTATAGGCATGCCATCACCACACCCAGCTTTTACTTTGATTCTCACTGATTTATATAAAATATCTGATGTGAATTGTTTTTTCTTTTGGTTTTTTGATACTGGGTCTCACTATGTAATTCAGGATGGCCTTGAACTCACTATGTAGCCCAGGCTGGCCTCAAACTTACAGCAGTCCTTGTGCCTCAGGCTCCTGAGTGCTGGGATTATAGGCATGCTCCACCATGTCTGACATGATATAAATTTTTAAATGCTTTTGTTTTAAATTATAAAAATATGTGTTGTTTGAATCACTTCTTGTTTGAATTAGGTAACTGGGAAAAAAGTATATGCTACAAGTCAGCAAATATATGAAGCATTTAAGTCATTGTGGACAAAAAGCACCAAAAAAGAATCACTGCCAGAGCCTAAAGGAAAAACTAAGGTAGAGTTTCATTAGACCAAAAAGATAAGCAATAACTTTTGTTTGGGTGGGTGTTGGCTTGGATGGGCTAATGGGGGTTCCAGACAGAAGTCTATGATAAAATGAAGACTAAGGAATTATAATAACTTGGTATAGTATAGTTGATTTAAGATACTTTATTCTTTGGGTAAAGTGACTTACTTATGAAAGAAAAATTTTTTTGGTACACAGCTAGGAAACTCTGATGAAACAGAAATACCTACAGAAACAACTCACATCCTGAAACATTCAGTGTCTTCGCCAACGGAATTCAGTTCTGAAACAGTGATAAAATCAGAACCCACCTCAGGTTTGTTTGGAATATTTCAATTTTATTTTTATTCTTGTCTAAAGTAACTTTTCAGCATTACAAGCTTATTTGTGTGCTTTCTTTAGGTATGTTTTTGCTTTCTCTCATATATGAAGTTTGTATTTTTGTATTATGAGTGACTTAGATGTCTAGGATTTTTTACATCACCATATAGTTCATAATGCAGGTTTTTGTATATAGGGTTATAGAGTAACAGTGACAAGTTGATTGAGTGAAACATTTAATATCACTTTATAAATGTGAACTATTTTATCATGAGGAAAATGTACCTCTCTATATTCTATCAATTTACAGGCATGAGTTATACATACATAAAGAAATATCTGCTTCAATTTCTTGTACTATTAGCCTCCTTGTCAGCCTTAGCTTCTGTCACTTGTATTTTTATTTTATTTGTATTAAAGGAGAACTTTAGTATTGAATACTGCCATATATATAACACCAATTATAGTACTTGCAACTTTGTTAGAATTCATCATTAGATAATTCTTTCTAGGACCAAATAGTGACTTTCTAAAAAATACTATGATTTTACTATGATCAAAATGAAAGTAGCAGAAGCCAGGCTTTGTGACACTTGCCTCTAATCCCAGCAGTCTGAGAGACTGAGCTAGGAGGATTTCAAACTTGAGCCCAGCCTGAGCAACTTAGCAACTTAGCAACTTAGTGAAGCCCTGTCTCAAAGAAAAAAAGAATGTAGCACAGTATGTAACACTATTTCAGCAGTGTAGTCACATAAGTTCACCAGTTACTGATCTGCATGGGTTTATCTGAGTATAATGTGGATGACTCAACGCACTAAGTTGTTTCATTGCAAAGAAAATATGACTGACTCAGAAATGGAGTAGTAGGAGACAGTAATAATATCTATTCTTTGTCAAACATATACTGATTTGCAAAGTATTCTAAGTTTATTATGCTATTCATTCTATACCCACAAAGCAAAGCAAAACAAGAAAGTCTGACATATTAGGAATTATTCCTGTTTATTATGAAAACACTAAGAATCAGGAAGCTTAAGCAACTTGCTCCAAATTATGCAGCTTGTGAGTAGTAAGCTGTTTATAGACTACATATTCCTGACACCAAAGTGCAGATTTTTTTCCACTGTGTATAATTATTTCTAATTTAAAGCCAGAATATAGTCTTTAATTTCAGTTCCCTCTCTTCTGAGTCTTAACAAAAACTATCATTGAAAAACAAACCTGATTTAGGTTGTACTATTTTCCTGTGTTGCTCTCCTTTTATTCAAGTTATAGACATTTTCAAACTGTCTCTGAATAACACAGTTGTCTGTGATTCCAGAGTATTATGGTGAAGATGAAACATACTACATCTTAAAAGTGGAACCAAAGTCATGCCTCACTAATGGTTTATCTTTACATGTCTGGATTCTGGAACACTTAACCCCTGTCTTGCATGATGTAGTATATGAAAAACATTCTAAAGAGACATGAAGGGGGAGATAGAGATGCCAGTGCTTTTCCTCCTTATCATATATACCTTAGTTCAGGCTGCTATGAAAAGAAATTCAATAGACCATGTTGTTGCTTGTAACAGAAATTTATATCTCTCATACTTGAGTCTGAACATCCAACACTAAGGTGCCACCACGGTCAAGTTCTTGTGAATGGCCTCTTCTGGCTTGTGGACAGTTTAATTCTTGTTTTCTCACATGGCAGAGAATACAGGGAAAAGCTCTCAGGACTAAACACTCAGGACTCTTATAAGGGCACTAATTCCATGCACAGAAGCTCATCTTCATCACCTCATCTAATCCTAATCACTTCCCAGAGGGCTTACCTCCCAGTGCCATCACATTGGTGGTTTAGACTTTGAAGATATAATGTTTGACAGGACACACTCCTAGAGTCTGTAATAATATATCCTTCAGAATAGATTCTACCATTACTCATTTCTGTATTTCACATGTGATCCCAAAGTTCTGTGATGTGGGAAGCAGAGTGATTGTGATCACAAGGTTTAGAATACAACTTCAGTGTGAATACCAGGTGCAACATTTCATACTTCTGTTACCTGGGGAAGGTTACAGAGCACCTCTAACCTGAGTCTCCTTATCCGTGAATGTTAAAAGATGTCCTCATTTTCTTTAGCATAGATTAATTAGCCATTTTGCTAAAGAGCACATTTTTATTGATACCCTTTGAGATCACTGTCTAGTGAGTCTACCTATCACCAACACTTATCACGATACAGAATCAATTTGGTATATTGTCCGATTAGTGTGATGCTGAGGGTGAGTTTGATTGTTTTTCTAATATCTCATATACATTTAAAGTGAAGATTATATTGTTTTGGAAGTCACAAATTTAGAAATTTGATATCATGGATCTCTTCATGAATGTTAAAGAAAAAATGAAATCTTTCAGTCTTCCAGGATTAATGCCCCTCTAAAGCAGCAGTTGGCAACCTATAGTCTATGCCAAATCTGGCTCACTATTTTTGTACATTCCCTAGCTGAGAGTACATGTTTTAAGTGGTTTTGAAAAATCAAAGTAATGCTATTTCAGTGAATATTATATTACATTCAGATGTATGGACATTAGTCCATCAAATTTTAGTAGAATATAATCACATTTGTTTGTTTGTATGTTGTGTTTGGCTACTTTTATACTGCAGTGAAAACAGTTGAGCTGTTTTAATGGAGAATATATTGTTCACAAAGTTGAAAATTTTAGTCCTGACCTTTTGCAGAAAAAGTTTGCCAATTCTTATTCTATAGGGAGAGGTGCACATA